AAAGTGCTTCATTAAATGAGTGTTTAAGGACTCTCCAATCATGACAAAGTTCAACCTTACAACGCCTCCAATATAATTTTTAAGAGAAGGTCCTAATCTAATTTCCGTCAATATCTTGGTGATTGGTAAAGCTTTTCTTTGTGGCTATGAAGTTGCCTATACAAGTCATAACGTATTTTATGGGCCAAAGCCACTAGTCCAACACGCGGAGCAACACAGTAAACTCGAAAAGACACAACACAAGCTTGAGAAAACACACACACACACACACACACACAAAATAAAATACAAACACATAAGGGTAGAAGAGTAAATTAACATTTAAACTATAGGTTTAGAAACTTCTGTGACCCTATATTCATTTTTAACACACACACACAAATAAAATACAAACACATAAGGGTAGAAGAGTAAACTAACATTTAAACTATAGGTTTAGAAACTTCTGTGACCGTATATTCATTTTTAGTGCAATGTTCACTTTTAGCTTTTGAAAATGATGCAATTAAGTCCTTATCGTAACAAAAGTCAACGTTAACAATTAATCGATAAAAAATAATAGAAAAGAACATAAAAATTACAAAAAATTAAAATAAAGGATCAAAAAATTACAAACAAAGATTTAAAAAAAAAATAGAAAATGAACAATATAAATTATGATCAACTAACAATTAAAGTTAACTTTTGTAATGATAGGGGTCAAATTTCACTGTTTTCAAAAGTTGAAATGAAACATTGAATCACAAATGAGCTTAGGGTCTTAGATGCTCCTAAACCTATAGTTTAGGGATCATTTTTAATTTTACCCTATGTATACATGACTTATATTTTCAATGATTTAGAATTTAACATCAATATACTTCAGTCAACCTTTTTTCTTGATTTATGTTAATTTCACCCTTTCTATTAAAAATTCATTGTTGGGAAAATTGCTAGTAAGTCCTTGCTTAGTGTCAAAATTGTGTTGAAGCACCAAAGAACTTGAGTACAAGCAAATAGGCTTGAGATTTCATGGTTATCTGTTTGCACCCTAAACTTATTTGCTTGCACCCTGGTCCTTTAGTTCTCTGGTACAATTTCAGTTTCAAAAAGGGACTTACTAGCAATTTTCTCTCATTGTTCCATGTTTCATTGTACTTATCATTCTCATTTAGAGAGGTAATGTTCACATATTGCTACAATAGATAAGATGGAGGGGACCGCTTTGTATCCAACAATTCTTATCTCTTCTTCTCTCTCAATTGAATTGCTGCTATCATCGATCATTTTCTTTTTAAAAACAAATATTATTTTGTTGTTCAAACTTATTGCATTGACTCATTTGCCAAATCATTTATGCTCGTTGGAATTTTTTTGCTTGTTATCTACTTGAAATTAAAGCAAAGAGCACAAATCATAGATCTAAGATGCCTGTCACACACCAGTGTCTTTGTTTCACTTTTACTCTTTATTTTATTTTTATCAAAATTGTGATCATTTTAATTTTTTTTATAGCGTTTTAATTTTAATTTTTTTTTTTTATTTTTTATAGCATTTGGAGTGGTAACAAGTTGTGTTGGATCCTTCTTTTCATTTGAATGTTATAATCCAAAAACATTACACCAATAAAATTTAGAATACCAATTACTCATAGGCAAACTTTTGGGTAAAATTGCCCTTTAAACACTCAAAATAACAAACAATATTGGTCAAACGTTATTTCAGGCTGACATTGCACTATTTTTTTAAATTTTTAAGGTAACATTGCACCAATAAAAAGTTAATGATATCAGTTGTGAAAAACTTCTAGTTATGCCAATTCTCAAACTATGAGCCTTAAGATCAATATCAAGTTATCATGGAAGAAAGTTAAAATAATACAATCTTATCTTCAGCACAGAACATTATATAATGTTCTTCCCTCTCCCTCATTGCTGAGTTTGGGATTTTCACAACATCATTCATAACAAACTTGGACAATAGAACACTCAAATATTAGTATGATACATGCTTTGAATCTACTCTTCGACTTCACTACTTGGAGGATGTAGAAAATATGGTCTGAACAACGGAGAAAATAAGGAGAACGATTCCAACAATAGAGATGACAAAATGCCACGGTGTACGACAACAATCGTGTCTCAACGTCACCTTCTTCTTGTGCCACCAATCTTCATAAAAATTATTCAACCTTCGACCTATATTAATATATTCAGATTGAAACCCAATGAAGGACATTTATGTAGAGACCATTAACTGATGTAGCAACGTTGTTAGTATCACCTATAGTGGTCCATTTTTTTTCTTGTGAATGAGACATCCACATCATATAGTGTTGATTAGGCAATCCAATAACAGACATAGTCAGCAATGTAACATGCATAGGAATAAGGATTTTGCTCCAGCTATCATATTACAAAAATGTCTTTTATCTCTTATATAGTTGGATCTCAGTGTATGTCCAGAAAATTTCAAGTCTAGTAAACACTTGTGCTTGCCTTCAACTTCATTCTTGCTTAGTACTCATTTGTGATATATAAAAGTACATGCTCAATTCCTTTTTGGTAGTTTTGTTGTTAAGTAAAATAGGCTCAGATCTGTAAAGTGCTTTATCCTAACATTGGGATGAGGCTGTAAGTTTTGGATGCTAAAACATGGAAATACCTCATACAGAAGCTCACAAAATGAAGGGAGCTCATCACGACGGTCAAGGGGAAAGGCTATACCGAATAGCTCTTTGATGACAAACAAAGGAAGTTGATTCTCAAGTAAAACCAACTCGTTCATTATAGTACTGCTCACCACAATTGTGATAATTTAGCATCATTACAAATCTCATGAGGAAACTTATGGCATATGATGATGAAGAGCTCAATGATGAAACCAGCATCCAATAATATCAGTTTCACAAGTTCTTCTACTAAGTTTGATGTTGTTAGAATAAATATGCACAAACTTTTGGCTCTGAATGTTTCATAAAACCAAACAAATCATTACTTTCATGCCAGCCTTTTTTTTTTTACAACAGTTTTTTCAATAACTGACGTTAAAAGGCAACATAAATAGCTATTTTTGCAATAGTGAAGCTTGACTGAGCACTTTGCGTAACTGTTTTGAAGAAAACTTGTTTGCCAGATTCCATACATCTTGTAGCCTCTCATGGACATATTGAAAGAGGCCAATCGAAACAACTTGTGGAGTGTAAGTCTCTTCATTCAGATGACGGATCGATCAGAGGGGGCACCTTAATTTTAGATACAAGATGTTGGTAGCAATCTCACAAATAGTTTATTACTAAAACTAAGTTAGGCTGATATATATATATATATATATATAGTTGAGATATGATTAAAAATTAGTAAACTTG